TCGTTTATTTTGTATAGTTTTTTTTTTTCCTCTGGAAATTAAATTTAAAAATTTTCTTGACTGTCTGGGTCGACTGCTTTAAGCCAAGTTTCTTTTAACATTTTGTATATGTTATATAGTAGCGCTTGAACAGCCTTAAAAGTTCTATGGTTAGCACTAGCAAGGAGATAAAAATTAGAGAATTCAAAGAGCATGCATCTTTCTCGTGGCTACATACGGATGTGAATCGTGATTATCTCTCAGTCCTTAAGAAGAGAAGAGGGGCTTTTGAGCTGAAATGCTATAGAAAGATGAAAAATATTGACATCTTAAAAGATCTGAAACATCAAGGAAGATTGGCTAAAAAAAACAGCATATCAAAAAGCCGTGGTCACATCAAGCGCCACGACGGCTTGGAAAAAAAATTATAGCAAAAGGCATGGTTTTTTCCAGGAGGATCGACAGGGGCGCGACCGATTACGAAGATGGGCACAGGATATAAGTGACTCCCTGAGTGTGAAAGTGCATGAGGCAAGAGAAACTGGCGAGAGACGAGTTTCTTTCAGGCAGACTGTGATGAGAGCGACGTCGCAAAGGACCTGCTACATGATGATGATATAGAGGCGCATACATCTCTGCCTCATCTCTGAATGGAATGCAAACATATCAGATATGCCCTCGTGTGTTTTCACTGAGCATTGGGAAGTGTGGTACATTGCCACGATCTTGTCTAGCAAGTGTCATTGTATCTCTCACACACCCCGAGAACAACCTAAAGTTTGTTTCTGTCTACTCTATTAAAAGCTTTTTCTTGATCAACAAACACAATATTCAGTTTATCGTCATATTGAATGGGGGGGGGGGGGGGGGGGGACCCCACGAACATGTCTTTGTGTAAAAAGTGCACAAAATAAATCTAACGTCTGGAAATACGGAATAGTTGCAAGAGATGCCCCCCCCCTTTTTTTTTTTTTCCTCTCCCCCCCCCCACACAAAAAAGCTTCCAGCTTAACACAGAAATACAGTTAGAAATGATATTATCAAGCAGACTGTAGGAACAAAGTCATGCAGCCAG